ATAAATAAAATACTAGGGTACTCCACCTTCTACTGTAGACTACGGTCCACACTTGCTTTTTCAAATCGACCCAGTGTTGCCCATGACCCACAGTCTATGTAGGGGCTCATTAGTGGGTCACCAAAGTCTAGCCCATGGGCAAGGGGTCATAATTCCAATATGTGGATTTCAGGTTCTCCCTTAGAGGCGTACCAAAGTCACCTAGACCTCATGCAACCACAGCTTTATAGTACATAAGGGTAATCTCTCGCACACGCACAAGCTTCACCCTGAAAGGTGGTTCGCTTGCTCGAAACGGCTATCATATGTGAATGTCATGTGATGGTATGTGTATGAGGCTTTGGCTCCCGTTTTTGAAAGCCTCCATCACACACAAGGGCCACACAGTCCATCGGCTCACTCATCCGGGCATACTCCGACCTCATCAAGGGATGACCCATTATAACCGTTATCGATTTATTATCTATGCTCAAGTAACATGGGTTTTTCCCAACTGACTAGCCTAGCTTATCAAGCTCAGTCCGGTATCAACAAACATCATTTGCTTAGTATGGTCCACACAGGACCACACTCCCACTGAGTTCATATTCCATTCAATCAAAAGTTCAATTATAAGCACTCATAAGGCCTTTAATGGCCACACACATCCAACACTGTGCAATGCACAAGCAATTCTAGATAGTACTTTCGGATATCTAATTTTAAATTGAGAAAATCTATTTTTTTACAATAAAAAATATCAATTAGAAAGTCTCAATTAAACGATAAAAAAGTTCCATATTCCTTATTTTCACTGAAAAATAAAAAACTTCATGGATACAAATAATTTGAAATTTTATTGAACATTTATCTTTGTTCTAACAAATAGGAAAAAATGAAAAAATTTAAATTATAACGATTCCAGTTGCTATTCCATAACTCATTCTAACTCATCGTCTACAAGCACTGGATTTGAATTTTCAACTAGTGCAAATTACAAACCCATCAACCATTGAAGCTTTCATTAGAGTGATCGTACCTATCACTAGTAATGTGCAACCAACTTCCCATTTTCATGACTATTAGTAGATCCCTCTAACCATACCTTGGCTTTCCATAACACAAAGGAAGCCCCAAAAAATCCAAGAAGAGATCCTCACCTGAAAATGAAGTATGTCGCCAAAAGAGCCACTTCTTCCACATTTAGATAATTTCCCATGACTGAAGATTTCTCAAAGTTCACCTTTTCACAGAAAATCAATTGAAACCATCTCAATACGATCCCCAAACTTTCAGTTCAGTCGACCATGGCAACACAAAACATCAAAGTATCATCAGTATATTACAAATATGAGATCATGAAGATCCTTTAACTCATTCTAAGCACTTCAAAAGTCCAAGCTTGATCTAACACTACTAATCATTCCACTTAATGCTTTTCCACCAGCATTAAGAGGAAGGGGACAAAGTGGCACCCTAGTGGAGCCAACATGAGCATTTGAAAAATCTTTTTGGCGCTCCATATAAAGAAGGCGAATATGGAATACATATACCCGTTCATTTCCTCTGTTTATTCCCAACCCTATTCTCCACAAAATTCCAGAACTCCACATGGTCAAAGGGACAAAGGCCGTCTAAAGATCATGAATTGATTCATAAACTTAACAAGCCACTTTTGGCCTCATGGTCTTGATTACTTCATCACTTTCTATTTCAAATTGGATTATGAATTGATGGCAAGTAAATAACTACTCCATTTCATATCCTTCTACTCCCAATGAAAATTTTTTGATTCCATTTTAAAAATGGATCTTCAGTTCCCTCAAATTTACTTATATTGCGAGCGCCAATAAATAAAACAAGAAAGATTTCTCTTGGAAAAGAGGGCAAGGGAGAAAGTGAAGTAATCTTGTCAATACAAAATTCACTTAATATTGGCGAAGGAGGCTAAACATCGGTAAATTGATATATATATATAT